GAGGATCCTACTATGTAGGGACTTACATTGAGCCCTTACCTCCTGACACTCCCATGTCCGATTCTTGAAGCCTGACAACTCCCGAGTCGGGTATGGAGGTTCCAGGAGTGCTTTGGCGAAGCCTACACTTCAGGGCTCATTCCTGATACTCCTGCAATCCACAGCTATCCACAGCCCTAGGTACCAGGTACATCCAAACAGCTCGACTTCTCGGCACAAGCCTTGAACTGTGCTAGGTCCGGTAATCTAACCTGAACCCTAACCCATCCAGTATCTATCAGTGGCCAATGCACGGCCGTCACCCTCGGACTCTTAAAGCAACTCCCGCAATCACCAGAGGAAGAGCCTGGACTTTCACCAAATCCCAGGAGCCTGAATCCGATCTTCTTCCTTACACCGGGCCACTGTTCGCCTCGACCGACGCTCGGCGAAAAGCGGCAGACCGCCACAACCAAAAACGATGGTAGTGAGAACAGCAGCACGAAGGAGAGTTGCGGCAATCATCGTGGAGATAAGTGTTCTCAGAACATGTCAGACCACATGTCCAGACAACTTGTAAAAGACAATCATAAGTCTACATGCTTGTGCCTGTAGTGTTTCGACCATGGACAGGTGCGCGAGGCTCCGCACGGCACCCGAGTGGAAGAGACGCTCGGAATTGTTCAAGGCTTGCCCAGTGCTTGATGACAGGGCCGGAAGTTGTCGTGCTTCTCCCCTCGTTCAAGATTGATGCCCGAAAGGTTGGGGATTTTGAAAAAGCTAAGCGCTGCCCCAAAATTGACAAATCTACGATGAAGCCTCGCAGCCAGGGGTCGGCGCCAATGCGAACTGGAGCTTGGGCGTGCCCTTGAGCTGCAGATCAGAAAGGCTATTAGCTGTTCTCTGGAGCCCATTGAAAGCGACGAGCGCAGCAGATAAACCCTAAACCCTAAACCCTAAACCGCCTTCAGAGCCCAATGTTCGGTTCGCCTGGCAAAGGACCGACCTGGCCAACCGCGAGGCACGAGTCCTTCCAGTTCAGAGCCGCGAGCTGCACGGTGTAGTGAAGATACCCTACTGCCCCGGGTTCCAACTAAAAGGGCCCTCTGGGCTCTAGTGCCCTATATAGTAGGTACCTGGGCGGTTCGGGATAAGTGAAGTGCCAACGTCCTATAAACCTCCACGCAGGGGTTCTGGCTTCCGTCGGCATGGGGTCTTCTTAAGCATCGGGTGCTGAACCGCGAGGGTTGCCAAATCCCGGTCTTGTACCAGGCCGCCGCCTTCGAGCAAGCCGCGCGGCTGGACACCCTATGCTCGGAAGTTGATGTCTGCTTCCTGAGAGATCCTCCCGAAGGGTTCCTCAATCCTAAGCTCCTTAGGCTAAACTAAGCTCAGCTGCTACTGTAGCTGCCGTAAGTACGGCCAACAAGAGGTACGACGACGACGACGACTACGACGACGACTACGACGACGACGACGACGACTACTACTACTACTCCTACGCCTACTCCTGAGGCGAGGAGGACTACTACCAATGTTGACTGATCACCTGATCAGGTTTTCCAAGAGTCATCTGCTGCTTTCCTTAAACCTTGTTACTTCCCCCTGCTTCATCCGAAGCCTTAACCCTAAACCGTTTAAACCCTAAACCATCCTAAACCCTAAGCCCGGCTAAGCCCTAAAGCTGTTGAGCTCCCCATGATCCCCCATACATTTCCCCTGTATATATGGCCTTTCCCCCATTGATCCCCCATATGGGGAGTTCCGAAAATAGGGGACCCTTATATAGTACCCCAACTAGTAGGATCCCTATTATAAGGACCCCCAAATAAGGTACCCTAATTTTCTGAAACTCCCATAAACCCTAAACCCTAAACCCTAAACCCTAAACCCTAAACCCTAAACCATATATCCCCACCGGTAGAGGGCTCGGTGGTTTCTCCCCTCCTCCGAAGGCAAGGCAGCGCCTCCTCGAGGCCGCTGCCGCGCTCGGCGCCAACGCAGTGCTCGGTGGCTTTCGGGCTTCGGGGTGTGCTCTTTCTAGTATCATCAGAGTATTCTTATAGTATTCTTATAGTATTACTATAGGGTTACTACAGTATTATTATAGTATCACTGTAGTAGTATTCTGATAGTGTTACTATAGTAACTATAGTAGTATTATGACAGTATTCATAACAGTATTATTGTGCAATTATAGTGTTGTTATAGTCAGTATAGTAAAGTATGGTAACAAGGAGCCCTGAGGAAGCAGCTTGGTAGTTCTTCAGGCTGCTGTTTTGCTATAAGGTAGCACAGGGTAGCTGAAGATACCGCACTAGAGTGAGTCCATCAAGTAGTGGGGTTGGTAGCAAGGTCGGGTTTTGCTTGAGTTTCTGTGGTAGTTGCAAAGCGCGAAAGCCGTGTGGAAGTGTTACGCTCAAGCACTCCCTTGGCTGACTCGTTGTCATGGGCCCCCAGGGAATTTTGCACAAGTTCGTGCTTCTTGTGTCGGGATGGGTTGGGACTTTAGGTTTTGTAAGTCCTCTCGTGTGAATGGAAGCCATGAGGCCAGCACGGTGGCCGCAACCCGTAAGTAAACCCAGCGTCTTCACCCCAGTCTTTAATCCTCAAGCCTGAACCTCGAACCTGTTTGTGGTTAGGCTGCTGAAACACTGTGCCTCGCTGAGGGAGCCTGGGGCTTTGCTAGTAGTGGGGGTAGTGGTGTGTGTGATCGAATCCCTAGTCCAATAGGCCAGGCTCCCTGTGCTATGCCTCCACCAGCATGGTATCCCGGACTCCTTATCAGGCGAAGGAAAAGAGGTGATTAAAAAAAAGAACCTCGAACCTCCGTAAACCATTGGCAGGCGTGAAGCCGGAGGAGCCATGTCAGGCGATGTGTGTGCCACCCGGTGGGCCTTGCGGATGGAGGGCGAGTCTCGGGGTTCAAGGGGTGCAAGTAGTAAACTTCGCAGCAGCAGCACCGGTACAAGGAGTGCGTGACTCTGCATGACTACTTCGACCGCGACGATGACGACTGCTAGAGTCATCCAATACAGTAGTAGCATGAAGGGTGATAACGGCAGTAGTAACATGAACAATTCTGATGAGAGCTTTAAGAACAATGAAGCGAGAAATTATGACGTTGTAACAATGGGGTAGGAGTTCCTCAGGCTGGATTCCAGTCACAGCTCTGCATCCCAGGCTGCGTGGCACCGCCGTTCGCCTCGCCGCAGAGGTTTTTGCCTCAGAAGTCTGCGAGGAGCTTGAAGCTCAAGAGTTAGACTTTCAGTGTTTAGGGTTAAGTGCTTGTTCTCAGGGTTCAGGCTTGAGGGTTTAGAGTTGCAGGGGTTTGGGTTTGACGGTTCAGGGTTTAAAAGAATCCATTTAGCACTGCCTTAGTTGCTTCCAGCTGTGATGCTGAGTATCAGTATCCTGAGGTAGGGAGCAGACGATGGCACACGCACACTTTCCTATACTCCAAAACCCAATGCCGTGACCTCCAGATATTAATACTTCCCTGAACTTCTGAATGCTAAGCAGAACCCGACTCAGAAAACCTCAGTGCCTAAACCACCCTGTGAGCCCTGAGCCCTAACTCCTATCCCTTCCACCACAAACAAAGAGAACCCAAATTCCTGCTGCCTTGGGAATACCTCCTGGACGTTTGCTCCTCGGATCTTCACAGCTGGGAGAGACCAAATTCCAAGCGAAAGCCTAATGCTTATTGGCCGGGGGGGGGGGGGCAGTTTCTGCCCGGGCCTGGCTTCTCCTGCTGACTAATGTGCGGCGCTTCGGCGCTGCTTTGCTAGACTTCCTTTCTCTTGGTCTTGGGAGTGCTGAGGGCAAAGTTTGGGTATATGTCATCTTCTATGTCCACTGATATCCTCGGGTATTATGACGACATTAAACAAAACTCCATGGCTCTGGCACCAGGCTGGCGTGAATCCGGTGGAGGTGATTCCAGGCATTTGCGTGGGTGCTTTGAAGGGGTGAACTCGGGGCCATTCGGGGCCTGTGTCCATGCAAGGAAGGGGCAAGTGCAACAGTAAGAAGATTTACGAGTAGAAAACCCACAACATAGTAAGAGCGCAAGTGCTAGCTAGCAAGACTGATAGCAACCGTGAACAGGAACATCAGCACAACACTTATTGGCATCACCGTCATGACGTTCGTCCTCATGATCATCATACCATTATCAGCTTCCTTACTTTCTTGTTCGTGACTATCATCGTCGTTCTTCCGGTAGGAAAGTCACTAGGAAAGGTGGTGCTTGCACTACCCTCCACTTGTGGAGCTCCGGCTGCGAAGCTTCTAGCAGTTCGTCCCCCGAAGCCGAAGCCGAGGGAATGGTTTCCACCATGCTTGACGGCCAGAAACTTTCACACCGAATCAAACCACACCATACATCCTGAAGCCTTGAACCCCTGAGCCTTCAATCGCAAGCTCATGCAGGCTGCCTGCCCCCCTCCACCCTCCAGGCACGAATGGCTCGGGGTTCGAACTTTTGAGCCTTTGGAGGTTGAAGGCTGGCCTTGGGAGTTCGGTATGGTGGCCGCCATCATCTTTCCTCGTCTGAGACCAACTCTCGGCTGAAGGCCAGCTCCAATTCCGGTTTTGTCATCGGCTCTTCGAGCGCTGAGCTCTTTAGAAGCTTGAACCTGGGAATGCCCAAGCAGGGAGGCCCCAGGCCCAAAGCGAAAGCTGCGAGACGCGCACCAGAATCAAGTCTTCGACTCAGCCCTTGACAGTTCCAGAAGTACAGGCGCCTCCAGCTTCGCTGCAGGTGGCCGAGGTCAAAGGTGGGGACTCTGGGTTCCGAGACTTTCGGGGGCTTGGGGCTTTGGGCTCTGTTGAGTGTGGGGTGTTTTGCTCTGATGGTCGGTGTTGTCGGTCTGCCCTGATTCGAAGGCTCCGCTACGTCGCAGCGCGCAAGACCCGAGTCAGATGAAAGTTGAAATCTAAGACAGGATCGTTACGATCGTCTCCGCCTTCGAATTTGTTCTTCGATTTCTCCATCTGCAGTTCGCCCCCTAGTGGCAATGTCCGAAGGCCTCATCTGTTGCACCGCTGCGCGGCCGGTCCGGTGGTTCACCTGGGAGGCGGCTCGGTGTTTCCAGGGCTCCCACCGATCGGCCCCCCAAGACCCCGTAAAGCAGTGGCCCCAGGCGTTCAAAACCGAACCTTAAGCGCGAAACCCCAAACTCTGATGAAGCGGCTGCGGCGAGGATAATGGGGCCTCAGAAAAAACTGATGAACCTGAGCCCTAAACCCCAGACGCCCACCCCCAAAAAGCACTGCTGATGAACCCCACAAGCCCCGCGCAACCCTAGACCCTAAAGCCTACACCCTAAACCTCAACCCTGAACCCTAAACCCTGAACCCTGAACCAAAACCCCCGAAACCTACACCTTGAACCCTAGAAAGCCTCTTGAAGTCCTTGGCCCAGGATCCCTCCGAGACCGAGGCGCAGACCTTCGGAGCCTCGGAGCACTGGGCCGGGTCGTAGAGAGGGGGTTTAGGGGTTTGGGGTTTAGGGTTTAGGGTCTAGGGTGGGTCTAGGGCTCTTCTGACTCTTCGGGACGGCTTGGGTTGTAGGTTTGGGAATTCTCGAAGATTCAGAGCTCAGACAAAGTGACAAAGTAGTGCTCTGTTACTCCGGGATGACAGGCTTCTTGCTGCTATGAGAACGGATCAGCGATCCGAGTCATGACAGCACGCATTACGGACCTCTAAGCTGTCTATTCCGAAAGCTTCAGGGCTTGTTTGTTGTCGTGACACCTAGGTGAGGCCGTCCGCGGCTTGATGGCACAGGCCCAGGCAGCAGCGGGCAAGAAGCTGATTTCCAATTGCTAACCTTAAGCCGCAAGCCCTAAAGACCCCAGCCCCCAAACCCTAAACTCTAAACCTTCACCCATCAGCATAACCCCCAATGCAACTGGCACAGGCCATGGGAGCGAATGGAGTCCTGGGCGCTGCGGGGATGCAATGGATCAGACCTGCTTAAGGTGTAGATGATGGTACCAGGCACGCCAGACGCCTGATCACACACATTTCTCTTCGTGGTACGTACGTACGTACATACTTGATACCTGACATGCGCATAGATATCTGAGACCTCGCAGACGGCCACACCGAATCAACACTGTGAGCCCAGGTGAAATGGATGCACGACGACAATCGATTTGTCTCCCAAGCGGTGGGCACCGCGGCCGTTTCGGCAGCGTTTAGGCAAGGATTTTCGAGAGTCGTGGAGGGTTTGGGGTTTGAGGGAGCTGATCTCTAAGGACTCTCTTTGCGGAGGATGCTTCCAAGGCTTCAGAAGCCTGGGACGACAGTAGCTCAGAAAGCCCAAGCCCGGAACCTGAAACCCCAAGCTCTCGACCGGCTGTGCAGCGAGGTCGTTCTTGGCAAGGAGCCCGGCAGCAGGACCCGGGGCCTCAGGAGGCATGGAGCCCCCACAGCTCTTAAGCCACCACATCGCTAAACCCTAAACCCTAAACCCTAAACCCTAAATTGCAAGAGGGCCAGACCTCGACATCCCGAACCCTCACCAGACAACCTGGAGCCAGAAGCCCAAGCTGCAAATAATCCTAAACCTATGTGAACCCCGAAACCCTAAGCCTCTTCACCCCTGAACCTCAACGCTAGACTCCTAAACGCCACAATCCCTGTAGCCCTACAGCTTTAAGGCTCAATACAGCTAAATTATTCAATGACACCCTGAAAGAAACCTACAAGAAACCATAGAGAACCCTGAAAAACCCTCACCCTCCCTGCGAGGATTTTCGCCGAGCTTCCTCCTCCGGTACCGGCTGTTTGCTCCACGCTGCGGAGCTGTCTGGGTTTCTTCGGGCTTGCGGCTTGCGGGGCATCTAAGCTGGGATTTTGGGTTTAGGGTTTGGTCCCTCGCATTGAGATGTTGGCTCATTTGCTTCAGAGCGTCTTGCTATCACAGCTGACCTAAACCTTAAGCCCACCCCAAACTGCCTACGGTTAAAGCCTCGACCCTCAGCCCTCAAAGTCGGATCGCAAGGAGCCCTCCTGAAGGCTTCGCCATCTCTTCGGTGTTGGGTCGGGCGCCCGATTTCAGAGCCCAGCGATTTTCCCAGACGCACCTTATGCCTCTGCGAACATAAAGAATGTGGAGTTTGGGGCTAGGGTTTTGGAGTTTAGGGTTATCGGGTGAACTGTGCTTGTGTTTTTTGCTGCTCTGGTGCCTAGCGCATTGGAAACCCGCAGTACTCTTTAGGGTCTCTGTTTTTGAAGGCCGAGAAACTACACACATCAGTGGCTTTCCCACAGACCTGTTGTGTCAAGGGCCCACCCCCCCAGCCTGAGACAAAACGATCGCGAAGAAGGTCACGTACTTTCCGGTTGCATGCGTGCGGCACAGAACATCCTACAAGAGTTCGATGCCGTCAGGGGCCTCCGTTTGCATCTCCAATCATAAGACGAGACCCTGAACAACATCCGACACGGGAGAAACGAAGCGACTAGTGCTGCAAGACTTCAGCAAATCAAGGCTTCGATTTCATCCCTCAGCGGCTTGTCAGCTCTGTCCGTGCCCGAAGATGTTGAACTTTGCCCATGCACCCTAGAAGCACAAGCTGGGCTGGCCTGTCTTCCAAGCAGAGTCGCCTAGCATCGTTCCACGGCATGATGCCAACAGAATGTGTGGGAAAGGACCAACTCGTGGCAAGGCGAAAAATCTAGCAGCTTCCTCTAACAACAAGTTTGGCTTATGAGCTTTATAACCGAAAGCGTTTTGACGCCCCGAACAGCCATTGGCCTCAATCCATGCTTCCCTACCCAGGCGTTGTGGCCGCGGCAGCCCTAAGTCCGTACCGGGACTATGGCCGCGGGGGATACTCGCAGTATAACCAGAGTAACCAGAGGACCTTTCTTTCCGGTGCTGTGTCGACGTCGTCCTCGTGGTCCTCCTCCTCCTCCTCCTCCGCTTCCCTCCCCGTCTCTTTCCCACATCATCCTTATCATCATGTCATGGCAATTGGGATCAGTGCCACTATCATCGTCAGTATCATCACTATCACCATCATCGTTGTGATGTTGTCATTCTCATTGTCACCTTAGGGGACATTCCTGCAAATCAACGAACACTAGTCGTGTCAGGACTGCCGCGGGTGAGCTCGCTGCACTCCAGCAGGCGACGGCCAAACTGCAGGCCGCGTAGGAGTGGATTTGAGGTTTGTATGCGAATCGAGTTCGGCGTGACGTTCTTTTCTGAGTGGCTGTGGGTGTCAGTCGCCAGATGTCGCCAGCTTACTGCAAAACCACAAAGCCCGAAGCCAAGAAGCGCATTCGCCCTGAACGTCGGTTGCAAGGCTGCCGCCACCTCCTTGGGAGCCCATGGCGTCCTCGGAGTGAAGATCGAGGCTCCTAATTTCAGGGGTTTCAGATCTTTTAGGCTGGCCCCCACGCAGCAGCCGCGGACAGCTGCCTCCGGGGTGGCCAGTCAGGGGCCTCGAACTGTTGCTGGAGGGTTGCCGGAGGCTCCCGCAAACATGCTGCACCGAAGGCAGTGCAGGCCGACGCATCCATCCGTCCCTCCATCCATCCCTTCCATCCATTCCAGGTTCAGAGGTTTTCGGCGTGTGCAGCCTGGTGGCTTTTCGGCTTGTTCGTCCTTTCGAGCAGTCAACTATACAGTTTTCTTCACGACAATGAAACTGCCTAGTTTCAAGCGGCCTGAGAAGCGCAACCTTACTTGGCCCTCAGATTGAACCCTGCTGTCTGCTGCGAGCCGCAGTGATCTAGGCCGAGTTTCATCGAAAACTCCTGGGGCCACGAAGGCTCCTGGGCTCGTAGGCCAGCTGCCTCGCTTGTGCAGGCCCTGAGCGTGTGGAACTGCTCCCGCTTCATGTGCGTGCTGAAGGCCCGCTGTTTCGCGAACCCATACCGAGTCCTGGAAGGGAAGGCTTCCGAGAATTTTCCTTCATCCCTGACTTCAGGAGGCGGACCTTGGCCTTTCCCTCTCTGCCTTCGGGTTTGTGCACTTTCCCATGAAGCGATTGCATGCAATGCTCTAACGCACATCCGTGTCTCGAGCTGCTGGGCCGGGGGGAAATTCGATTTCGATCAGGCCCCGAGCCCTAGGAACCCCAAAGCCTCAGGAGTTCTGACGGGAGCGTTGAACCCATGAGACGGACCTGCAAGCATGGCCCTCAAGCTTCGGGGCCTCGAATCCATGCCAGAATGGTTTTCATGCTCAATCTGAGCTCATCTGATTGTTCTCATTATGACTCTTTGTACCGTTTCCAGTGCTTGTTCTTGTAACGATCACGAGTCATGGCGATGCCGATGGCGATGCCGATGACTTTAGTCTGACAGCGATGATCCGATGATTGAATTTTGGGATTGCTATACCTTTCTTTTCTGCAAAATCCTATGTTGCTATGACTGATTTTAAAGTGAAGCGTCACGAACATATGTAGCATGGCTTGAGAGCCTGAAAGCTTCAGAAGAAGATGCGCCGGACAGGGCACTGCCGTACGCCTCTCGCAGTTCCAGGAGGCGGTGGATCAGATCCCGTTTCTTGGCCTTCGCTTTGGTTGGCTTGCGTCGCGGTTGCCGATAGCAGCAGCTTCCGGAGGCAGAAGGGATCAGGGCATCTTGGTGTCTCGTGAGAGGAAATGTGAGATGCTTCGCTCCTGCTGCTTCATCCAGACAGGGCACGGACGAGATGGAAACTAGGCCAGTCACTCTTGCAATTCAAGGGGTGCATTAAAGCATGTAGCAGCTGGCTATGACCGCTTATAACCTTACGTCGGATTACGTGACTCGCGACCAGGTATCATCACTCCCGGGTCGAGGTGTCGGCTATGCGACTGGCCGGCAAGAGTGCGGCAAGAGGTTTCGATGTTGCAACGCTTGGGGTGGAATCATGGCTTTCGCGATTATTGTGCTCGTTGTTCTCTACGGTGTTGTCGTCATTGCAATTATCAGCGGGCCTGATGTTCATCCCACATCTCAGCTCTGTCAGGCAGAGTCCAGCCAAGCACCTCTGCGTACTTTGGCGAGACAAGGGAAGGTTGGACCGGCTTCTGAACTCTTGCAGGTCTTGGCTTGAAATGCCTCTTGCCCTACCTTCGGTCATCCCGCCGCTCCCCAGGTTCGATGCTAGCTGGTAGTCCGAGGTCTGCCGGTACATGAGTCTGATAAGCGTTCTGATATCCATTCTTTTAGTGGTTGTGGAGGTAGTTAGAGCATGTTCTCCAGGGCAAAGTTCTGGAAGAGCATGTTCTCCAGGGCAAAGTTCTGCATTGCCCTCATGACACTTCTTGTAGAACGAAAGGCTTGACCCCAGTAAGCTCAGCAACGACAAAGAGTCCACACCCTAAATCCCAAAGCCTATTCCCCGAAGCCCATACGCGTGAGAACACAACTTAGCGACTCAGTCTGAGGTATCCCTAAACCCTAAACAATACTCTCTGAACCCTGAGCTCTAAACCCTCAGCCTAGGCAGAAGCCTCACAGCCACTTCCTTTCCAAGGTCTCATCAGTGCTTGGTCTGGTGTGCAGTGTGGGCTACAGGCCCTAAGCCCTGGTTCGTTGAGCTTCGGGTTTGACATGAGGGTTGGGTTCGGGCTTTCGGGCTCTGCGACTGGTCCCGTGAATCCGACGGTTTAGCACCGATCGCATCTCAGAGATGCCGCTGCTGAAGACACTGCGGTATCTTGTCGTTGCTGTTCATGCCGCGGTAGAACGTGCGACGCACGAGAGAATGCAACAGCCGCAGTAGCATGCAGTAGCACTGTTAGCAAAGTACGCAGCAGAATGTGCCTATGCGATGCCAAGCAGACCCTGAAGATGAAACGGCATGTGGCAAGCCACTTTTGGAGTATCGTGACCAGATCAGAGCCAAAGCTACTAAGCACGCCCGACTGTTCGGGTCTCGAACTTCAAGCTTGAGGTTCGTTTTTGTTTAAGGGTTGTCGGCCTAGGGATTGAGTCCAACTCCGCTTCAACAGAGATACAAGCTGCAAGCTTACACCTCGAACCTGCGCAAGGCAGACCAGCATCCCTGTCAGGCCAATGTAGGCCTTAAAGAAATAAATACTAAACCCAAAACCCCAATACCCAGGCCAAAGCCTCGATTGAGCCACACGAGCCCGGAGCCTTTCCCGGCAGGCAGTGGAGATGGGTAGGCTTCGGCAGGCTTGCAAACATGCGAAGAGATGCCGAGGGTGAGCCTTTGCTGCCCTTAGCATTGCTGCAGAAGGGTAGAAGCGATGGTGCTAGCAGATAGCAGGACAAGCATAGCCAAGGCAAATGAAGGATGATGATAATGATGCTGTATTCGCAACAGAACTGATGACAGATATACAAGCCAAGCAACAATTTCGAGTGGGAGTGCTACTACCAACATGGTAGATGAAGTTTGCTCTGGGTACTCAGCTCGTTGTACTGCGGAGGCAGGCTCGAAGTTGCAAATCTCATGCCGCAATCCGAGGAGCAGGAGACCTTCTCTGCTGCTGTGACCAGCCTGATAGTTCAGGCAAGTCCGCGTGTCTGTCCTGGAAAGTCGGTGATGTCTGTAGAAGCGTTTCCAAAGCACCACAAGCCGGAGGAGGAGTCGTAGTAGTAGTAGCAGTAGTAGTAGTAGTAGTAGTAGTAGTAGTAGTTGTAGTAGTTGTAGTGGTAGCAGCAGTAGTAGTAGTAGTCGTCGTCGTCGTCGTCGTCGTCGTCGTCGTGGTCTTAGTAGTAGTAGTAGTAGTAGTAGTAGTAGTAGCAGTAGCAGGACCAGATCCCTGTCTTCATGCGTAATAATTTCACGATCGTTGTCGTCGCCCTCGTCGTAATGGGCTTTGTTACATACAAGTCTTCATTCTCACCGATATCAATGCCACAATGGGCCAGGATCAGGCATAGTCGTCGTCACAGCCATCATCATCATCGTCGTCATCATCATCGTCGTCATCATCATCATCATCATTATCACCATCACCATCATCATCATCATCATCTTCACCATCATCATCATCAGCATTGTCGTCGTCATCACTCATCACTATCACCGTCATCATCATCATCATCATCACCATCATCATCATCACCATCATCATCATCAGCATCAGCGTCATCATCATCATCATCATCATCATCAGCATCAGCGTCATCATCATCATCATCATCATCATTATCGTCGTCATCAGCATTATCGTCGTCACCCCTCATCACTATCACCATCATCATCATCATCATCATCGCCATCGTCATCATCATCATCATCATCAGCATCATCATCATCATCATCCATTACCATCATCATCATCAACATCATCATCATCATCATCATCATCAGCGTCATCGTCATCACCATCATCATCATCATCATCATCAGCAGCATCAGCATTATTGTCGTGATCCTCATCATCACCATCATCATCATCACCATCATCATCATCGTCTGCATAGTGGTAAATGCTTGGCGTCGTCTGCCTCGGCCCGGTCTCGGTTGGGGTCGGAGCCTCTGAACAGGAGAGGAAGGAGCTGTACCATACGAGATGCGCAAGTTGCCCCGTATTGTGTGTACATTCCATGTGGCAATGGAGCTTCAGACCCTGACGGGTTTGTGGGACAAGTCCCAGAGGGTGGGAGGGATCTGTATGGGAACCTCTGAATGCTTCGGCCGAGGCTGGTGCGAAGTCTTCTTGTAGTCATTGCATCTGTCTTGTGAGGCGCAGCAGATGGGTGCCAACGGGGTCATGGGCATCAAGTGGACACATGATGACGCATCGCCTCGTCTTGGCAGCCATCTTTCTGTTGTTTTGTTCTTCCTAATGCGATCCTAAGCTGCGGTGTTGATTGGGGAAAGACGTGCTCGAGTTTGCAACCGTTGTCAATCTTTAGGGCTCCACCCAGTGATTTTCTGGACCAGATCCTGGAGAACCCAGAATCTCCAGCTCACGTTGCTGTGTAGTAAGTTAGCAGCACGTTGCGCCACGTGGGGCTTGCCAGAAGTTTGCTACGGCCTACGCAGTCTTCGTTACATGTGCACATATGTGTGAGGATGTGTACCCTGCGGTGCTGCATGAAAAAGGATCATTCTCTCTCGTGTATACTCTCTGAATACCCTACCCGGGATGATAAGATCCGTGTCAAGAACGGACCGCTATGAAGTTTTTGCAGTGGCCACGGTAGCAAAGTGAAGTCCCGAGGACGACCATCGAAGCAGCTGCCTCGTAGGCACCGCCGTCCTCTTGTCCCAGAAGCCAGGAGCCGATAATCGCTGAAGTTCCTCGGTTCTTTTTGGAGTTTACTAAGGTTGAACTCGACTTCACTGCAGGATTTAGTGGGGGCGCTCAGGGCTCAAGGTGTAGCTTCTGGGGGTTCGGGGCTGAAGGTTTTGGGATCAGGCTTAGGGGCTTGAGGTTCAGGCTTTGAACCCAAGCTTCCGCACTGGGGGCTTTCGGAGTCTTCAATCTTTTGTTCGCTCCGTCAAACATTTCGAAAGCTTAAGCCTTAAAGCCTGAAGCCCTACCCTAAATCCCCAAGTTCAGAGTCATGGAGGCCCTCCAAGCCAACCACACCAGTCCCTTGACCTCATAGGCCGTGAAAGTTTTAAACCCTCAGCCCTGAACCCTTAAAAACTTCAAACCTCTCAAGGCCTAAACCCTAAACCCAAAACCCTAAACCCTAAACAAAAAAAACAAACTAAACCTATAACTGCTTGCTGCAACTGTTAGGAGCCCCTCCTCCCTCGAGTCTCGGCTCGGGCCGCGGGTTCTTCCTCTCGAACTCTCGGGCACCCCCCGAAGGACGGGTGGATCCGAAGCCTTGAGCTCTAGATCTGAGATGATCCCAGGGCCGTTTCGACCCGGGAGAGGAAGGTGTTTTTTTTTTGTGGAGGCTTCGGAACTTGGGATGCGGTGGTGTTCCGGAGTCTTGGGTCCAGGGTCCGGGGTTGTGGAAATGGTGGCTTGACGGCCGATGGAGTTGCAGAAGAGCAGTGCAGTCATGCCTGACTGGCCTTTCGTTTGCATTTCTGAACCGGTGGTGTTGTCGAGTTATCGCAATAATCAACGGTTGGTTTCCTCGTGGTCGTTGCCAGAAAGCTTGAATTGAAAGCAACCGTCTTCTGGCTTGTCGAGGATACGCAGTGGCGCATACGATCGGAGTCTTCTCAGGCGTTCCTTGAGAATTCTCGGCTGTTCCCATGCCTCGGTTCCGAGTTGCATTTTCTCAATGCTCCTCCGTCCTATGCTTGCTTGGAAAGCTGGAAGTATGCAGTTTGTATGTGTATTCGTTCTTCGCACCTTGCGATAGGCAGGAGTTGTCAGCAACCAGCAATGAGCGCTTGCATTGCAAGTTAAGTCAACCACATGCTTGCCAGGCGCCGGCATCAGCTCCAGGGGGACCGGCTTCAGTGTCCAGGCATCGGGGATGCAGTCTCGTCCCGAACACTATGGGTAAACAGCTACCCCAGCCAAGCTGACACACCGACCTGCCAAACTTGGGTGAAGGCAATGGCCTCGATTGACCATGAAGCGCTCGAAGCCGTCCCTGGCCGCAGCTTAGAGTGGGCTTGAAAGTTGGGCTTGGGGCGGAGGTTGGGGGTTCCAGGGTTGTGGGGCTCAGGGGCTTAAGGGTTTCGAATTAGATTTGTATGCATCAAGTCAATGCAAGGCTCCAAGCAGCATCACGAAGAAGGGGGCTCCTGCTGATTTTCACGACAGGCGGACTTTCAGCTC